AAAAAAATGAAAAGAAGGGATTAAACAACAACATTACAATAAAAATCTGGTAAAATATCTTGTCAAATCTTCCATAAATTGCAAGCAATGGTTGGAAAAGGACGACCACGTGATTAGATTTTTGGAATGATGAGCCTGAAATGACCTGAGTTGACAAAGCAATGAAACCAAAGGAAAAAATTTTGAATCAGTGTGAACCCCTTATAAAATTAAGAGAGTTTGAAAACTTAAACTAAGACCAAACCGGTCATAAATCAAAGTTCATAAGTTAAAATGTGTGAAATAGACTGCTTTCGAAACATGGGATATGACAACGAAACGGTTGGAACACAGACGAACATCTAATAGAAAAAACTGAAATTGCACAGAAACCGGATGATTCCTCTCTCTCATCAATCTGAGATGTCTGCTATGGTTGTTTTGACCGTTAATAGATAACAAAGATTTGCCCACATTAATACTTTACACACAGCTGCAGTTCAAAATTTCTTTAAAACATTCATAAACATCGGTCCAACGACATTTAAGATCAAATAAAGGGCTTAGGGGACACAGAGGATAACCAAAAATTGCTCCTAATACATTTCTCCTACCACAACTCCTTTCCTAAAACACATCAGCAAAGAAAAGATTAATAGCAAAAATTCTTTACTGCATGTTATACGTTTTATCAATCACTTTAACAAAAATGAAAACCTCAAAAGAAGTGAAACCACTTACTCCGCCACCAATGTCACTAATGGATTTGGAAAACTTGTCTCTGGGTGGTCGCCAGGAGCTGAGCCCATATCGATGTGCGTAAACTTCAATGGATGTTTACTGTCGCAACCATGCTCATCCAGGCGAGAAGCCTAAACTGTTTTCATGGACTGCATGCGAGGAACGGCTTATGAGAATTCCAGAAAGGTGATTAAAGATAGAAAAAGGGGAGATAACCAAGACCAAAAATGTTCAAAAAGGATTTAAGAGATTTGAAAATAGTTTTCAGATACGAGTACGCAAATTCAATATTCCTGCATAAGAAATGACGCCTCAAGAAAGACTTCGTTGTTTTTCAGTTATATTAGTTTAAAAACTTAGACAAATGCAAGCTTTGCAAAACAATTCACATTAATGCATTTACTTTGACAGAGGCCGACGACAGTCAGAAAGTCAGATCAAATAAGAGCATTCAGAACATTAGAGATGTAAACTATGAAAAATATCTAATTAAGCGGCATACCATTATCAAAAACGCAGCCGGTGATTGATGTCCTCTTAAAGTTGCCACTGATGGTTTTGTATTACCCTGTCTTACGTCTGCCTGTTCACACTCAGCTTTATGGAACTCAAAATCCTAAAACTCAGTCAAATCAAGAGCAAA